AGGGAGCCCGATGCGGGACTCGATCCCGGGACTCCAGGATCATGACCTGAGCCAAAGGCAGTCGCTTAACCAACTGAGCCACCCAGGCGCCCAATATTTATGAATTTTTAAGTTGTACATTTCTAGAATGTTTTATTTCGTTTACAGCTAGCATATATTGCATTTGTATGCAGCAAAAAAATGGAAAAATTTACAGTGACTCTTGTAGCAATGGGTTGAAATGACTCATTTCTTTAGGGCAGATTTGGAAATTTACTTTGTTATAATTGTTTGAAATACATTTCTCATCATCCCATTGTATCATTTTACAGTTGTTAGATACCATCCCAAAACAAAAAATAGCATCTTTCTCTTCGTAACTACTTTGCAATGCCCACATTGCTTACATACTACATATTAACATATATGGACTGCCTGGGTTTATATCTCAGCCCTACTACCTCTAGACATGTAATCTTGGGAAAATGATCAGTTTCAGTGTCCTGATTTGTAAATAGGAATAATGGTATATCAACCACATAAAGTTTGAGAATTAAGTAAGATTATACTTCATACCTGGTAAGCATTCAGTACATGTAGCCATTATTTTGATGGTATTGATCCTAAAGTTGACTTATTATTATCCAATTCTTGAATACTTTGGAAGTTTAGAAAAGGGAAAAAAATGGATGTATTGCATGTTTGGAACTGATGAAAGAAGGGTTTGATTTTTGTGGGGATTTTTTTGGTTTATAGTATGCATATTATACAAGTAGAATATCTATGCAATATCTTCACTGTTCTTATTTCCAAGTATTGTATGACCTTATCTTTGTTTTCTGTTTTAGGTCGAGACTTCATAACTCTTGAGAAGCAACCTTCTGTGCTAAGTAAGTGGTTGGTTGTCTGTTCTTTTATCAGTCAAGTAATTCTGACTTTGTCAAATTTGGATTTGAATAGGGTTTCAAGTTATTTTACCCTCTTTGCCTTTTAATCCCACCACACATTGGTACCAAATGTGTAATTATTCTGTGATGTGGAAATGTGTTTAGGACTATTTTACCTAAAGTAACTTATTTACAAGAATAAATGGTTGGGCGCCTGGGTGGCTCAAATGGTTGGGTGTCTGCCTTCGGCTCCGGTCGTGATCCCGGGTTCCTGGGATCGAGGCCCGTGTCAGGCTCCTGGCTCAGCAGGAAGCCTGCTTCTCCCTCTCCCTCTGCCTCTCTCCCTGCTCATGCTCTCTCTCTCTCTCTCTCTTATCTCTGTGTCTCGAGTGAATAAATAAAATCTTAAAAAAAAAAAAAAGGTTAACTTTTTTCTTCTTAATATTGAAATCAAGTTCAAATATTATTGAATTCAGTCATTCTCAGACCAGAACAAAGGACTTGTACATAGTTTTGTCTGTTAGGTGATTATATATTTATTTGCTGCCTATTTTGCTGTAAGTAGTGGTTCATCCTTCACTGGTATGATCCTTTAACATTATCTTTTACTTCTGAACCTGTTGCTTTTGTTGTTTTCCTCCCCAAATTTGTTTTGCCTTTCTGATAAATTTACCTTGTAAATTTGTATGGTATACATTTTCAAAGTATGTGAAATGATATTTTGATATATGTATTTGCTTCAGGCTCGGGATATCAAAAAAAACCTCAGGAATGGTTTGAACAAACCACAAGAACAAGGGCTAGGATGCAAAGTAAGTTGATAAATCTCTACCTATTATTGAAGTAATTTTAAGTTTATTTGCTGTTTTTCTTTATTGTTCAACATACAAAAATATTTAGTTCTTCAGATAGACATTTAGACTGTAATTTCATTAATAAAGAACAGCTATGATTACTAGTTATTTCCATCTGCTTGGAGGAGCAGGAGATGGTCTGGATGTAAAGTGTAAATAGTGGTGTGAGAAAGCCTGCGGATGATGGGTCTAGACTTAACAAATTGTCAGCTCTATCTAGCAGCAGTCCAATCTGTACATGATCATGAAATTCTACTCTCTTGACAGCACCTGTTTTTTATTTGTAGCGGATTTTGTTTACTTTTTTTAAATAACCACTTAGAGTAACTCTGCCTGCCCATTATATTAAGTAATAAAGGTTGAAACCTACAAGTAGTATATTCATGTTTAGGTTTAGGATGGATTAAATGTCACAGAATTTGAGAAATACCATAGATAGATGTGATGAAATAATAATGCTTTGAATTCAGTGTCTGTCATAATTTCTGTAGTTGTGTCCACATTAAATCTTGACTGTGTAAAAAAAAAAAACTAAGTCACCCTTAACCTTTTATCCCTTCTTTATTCATCTAATCACAATAAATCTCAAAGTCATTAGGTACTCCCTTACTTTTATTTAGATAATATAAAAATCCCCATCACTATCTCTTGCTCAAGAAATAACTAACTATAGGGGGGCGCCTGGCTGGCTTAGTCGGTAGCGTGTGTGACTCTTGATCTCGGGGTTGCGAGATCAAGCCCCATGTTGGATGTAGAAATTACTTAAAAATAAAATCTTAACAAAAAAAGAAAAGAAAAGGAAATGATGAACTGTAATAGGACAAGATTACCTTGTGGTAAATGAACCTCTGTGGCTTTGTTTTTCCATCAGCAAAGTAGTGATGGTCACAATTCATTCTTTCCCACTAGTGAAGTTTTATCCCACATGTGAGTTCTTCAGCTGTCTAAAACTGAAATAACATTCTGTCCTTGCTTTATTGTTGACTGTCATTCCTTATTGTTGTATGTACCTTGCTATCAGAAAACCATTTCTTCTTACAGTTTGCTCTTTCTGACATATTATAATTAGGAAGGCAAATATTCATTATTTAGCTTACTAGGGTTGTGTTTATAGCAAGTATCAAAAATTAAAACCTATGGGGCACCTAAGTGGCTCGTTAAGTGTCTGACTGTTCGGCTCAGGTCATGATCTCAGGGTTGTGAGATCAAGCCCCATGTCAGGCTCCATGCTGGGTGTGGAGCCTGCTTCTCTCTCTCCCTCTGCTTCTCCCCGCCCCCTCTCTCTCCCTCCCTCTCTCTCTTTCTCTAAAAAATACTGAGCATCTTTTCATGTGTCTGTTTGCCATCTGTGTGTCTTCTTTATAGAAATATCTAGGTCAGGGGCGCCTGGGTGGCTCAGTTGGTTAGGCGGCTGCCTTCGGCTCAGGTCATGATCCTGGAGTCCCGGGATCGAGTCCCGCATCGGGCTCCCTGC